TCCTGAAGGTGTCGCCGTGGAAAGGCGTCATCCGATTCAGGAAGCGGGGCAAGTTGGGCCCGCGATTCATCGGACCGTTCAGGGTCTTAGCCCGGGTGGGCAAGGTAGCATATAGGCTGGATCTGCCAGCCGAGCTTAGCCAGATCCACAGCACTTTCCATGTTTCGCAGTTGCGGAAGTGCCTAGTGGACGATTCTGCAGTAGTACCTTTGGAGGATATTCAGGTTGATGACAGCCTGAACTACATTGAGCGCCCAGTCGCAATCCTCGACAGGAAGTCGAAGGATTTAAGGAACAAGAGGGTGGAGCTAGTGAAGGTGCAATGGCAGCACCGCAAGGGTTCAGAGTGGACTTGGGAGCCGGTAGACGAGATGATGGAGCACTACCCCGAGCTGTTTCAGGATCAGGCAGCAGACTTCGAGGACGAAGTCTAAAATAAGTGGGGGAGATTTGTAGCACCTGGTTTCCGGTATGTGAATTTTATTTGAGCATTGCCCTAATTTAGCCTTAGACTCGGCGAGTCATAGGGTCCGACTCGCCGAGTAGGGACGAGACTCAGGACACGTTTTAAGTAGGCGACTCGACGAGTCCATATCCTGGACTCGGCGAGTCACCGCTGCGGGATGAAACCCTAAGTTTCAAGGGTTTGCACCCTATTTAAACTCTCATTCCGCCCCAACTCGTCCCCATTCACCCCCAGAACTCCCCCTACATCGTTTTCCCTTGTTTCCTTGAGAGTTTGAGGTGTTCTTGGTGTGTTCTTGAAGGTTTTGAAGAGTAAGAGGAGTAGATCAAGAAGAGGAGAAGGAGATCAGCCATCCTTGTGTCATTTCAACATTTCCTTTGAGGTATAACCCGTTTTCCCCTTGATTCTATGCTTAAAACTTCATTTGGGTCCTTCTTGGTCAATTCCCCAAGTTTGCATGTTCATTATATGTTGTAATAAGGCGTTTGGCCTTTGGATCTATGCAAGATTGAGCTCCAGGAGCTCAGATCTGTTAGCTTTTTGGCCCATGAGGCTTGTTAGCCCTAGATCTACCCTTTTGAGACATTTTGAGCCTTATAATCCATATTGGTGAATATCCACACGTAAAGTTGGAAACTTTACGTGTGATTCGTGTCCTAGAAGTCCAGATCTATGAATGGCATGGACTGGAACCGAGCAAATCGGTATATTTAAGGAGTGCATGGCGACGACTCGGCGAGTCGCATAGGTGACTCGGCGAGTCTGGTTGCGAGTCACCGAATTGGTCCCTTCTTCATGTGTCGAGTTGAGCCTTGAGTCACAGGGGGTGACTCGGTGAGTTGGGAGCTGAACTCACCCATGTTAGGACTCGGCGAGTCAATGCCCTGACTCGGCGAGTCCAAGGCAATCTTCATAGCTCAAGAACAGACTCGGCGAGTTGTTCATACAACTCGGCGAGTCTTAGCATAAAGTGTTCATCGGATGAAGATGAACTCGACGAGTTGTTCATACAACTCGGCGAGTAGGATGAAGGTGTTGAATGGCAGATAGAAGGTGAACTCGTCGAGTCATAGCCCGACTCGACGAGTAGAACCAGGGACCCAGGACATTGGTTTGCTAGGGACTCGGCGAGTGGTGATCCACTCGGCGAGTCGGGTCAACTGAAAGTTGACTCCAGCTTTGGCTTAGAGTTAATCCAGGGGTAAAATGGTCATTTTACCTAAAGGACAGTTAGCAGTGTTTGATTGAGTATGTCGTGGAAATTGCAGCCGGAGGACTCCCGGAGCAGCAGCAGTCAGTTAGTTCCCGATCAGTTCAGCAGCTACTTTGAGGTGAGTTACCTTCCAGTAGCGGTGGGTCTACGGCCACAATGCCGACCCACCAGTAGGAGTTGTATGTTAGATGATTGTCTTTGTGATATCATCTAGGTTTGCTACTACCTGATATGTTATATGCTGGCATGATATGTTGTATGTGATAGTAGTAGAGTTCGGTTGTTAGGACCGAAGGGTAGTCGGACACCCCAGATACGTCCGACAGTATGTGATGATATGTTTGCATGCTGGCTTGTTATGTTATATGTGATCGTAGTAGTAGGGGGTGAAATAGTCCCCGAGGATCGTTTGTTAGGACCGATGGGTAGTCAGCACCCCAGAATGGCTTGACATGGGTAGTCAGCACCCCAGAATGGCTTGACATGGGTAGTCAGCACCCCAGAATGGCTTGACACGGGTCAGACGGCACCCCAGAATGGCCGTATGGGTAGGTCGGCACCCCAGAATGGCCGTACCGGGTAGTCAGGCACCCCAGAATAGCCTGGCAGTATATATGTTATGTGTTTGTATGGTATGCGGTACGTTGGGGGGGGGGGAACTCACTAAGCTTTGTGCTTACGTTTACAGTTTTGTTTTCAGGTACCTCTGCATCGAAGGGGAAGGAGCCGGCGCGGTAGCGGCATGTCATACACACACTTTTCGGTTTCCGCATTTATGAGATTTACTGGGACTGTACTCTGATATTTTGATGGGATGTATGGTGTGGCTTTTTAGAACATGGTTGCAATGTGTTATGATGTGAACAAACAATGTTTTTAATTATTAATGTTTTCTAAAGTAATATTCTAAAAATGAAATTTTCGGACGTAAAAATTGGGTCGTTACACCCATGGCCCAAAAACTCATGATCCATACAGACAGAGTATGCGGGGCGTACCCCCCATGTACGTTAAGCGTACAGGCAGAATGGTGAGTACGTTGGGCGTACATCACTTTACGCGGGGCGTAAACTCGCTGAACTAAAAGTCCTCATAAGTTCTTAATGGCTTAAGCTCTTACGCCCAAACTTCAGATCCATCGACCAAACATGCCTAGGATCCATAAAGTCTCCAACTTTATCCCTTGGGACGTCCATAAAGCTCTTAACTCAAAGTCTTAATCCATTAAGACCCACCTACATCATACATGAGACAACCAAAGCCATTGGGACCTCATTTTTCTCACTCAAGACCTCTCCTAAGGTCTGAAAGGACAGCTAATCTCAACCAACTCACATCATGCATCACTTTGGGGCTTTGGGACAAGAAATGATGTCAAAACTTCATAACACCAAGATCTACATAAAATAGATGTCAAGCAAGAGACTTTATACCTCAAAAGGGTTCCAGGAGATGATGCCTTCCCAGATCTACGAGCTCCAGCCACCCAACTCCTTCCTTGACAACTTACTCTTTTCCTCTTCCAAGCTTAAACCACCAAGATGAGCTTTTCAAGGCCAAGATCTCTAAAATGGAGGTTAGAATGTTCTAGGGTTTCTTCTGAGGTTAGGGAGGCTGATATGGGGGCTAGGGTTGAAGCCATTATGTTCTATTTATAGTGGCTCACCCTCAAATTAGGGTTTAAGGACTCTGAGCGTATGTTGGGCGTACGCGTCCTTGCACCCGCGACCATTTGCTCTATAACGTTGGGCGTAACCCAACCTATGTTAGGCGTACCCACGCGTGTCCCAAAGGTATGCATGGCCTACTTTGACAACTTTTTCCATTAAGGGCCATGAATGTAACTTTCTTTAAAATGTCATAACTCCTTCATCCTAAGTCCGTTTCCGACGAACTTTATATCCATGAAAAGGTAGCGAGAAGCCCTACGCTTTTAGCAACACACCCCAGCCCGAAACCTTCTCGAATAAAACCCATTGTCCATAAAAGACCAAAACGCCCTTACTCTTGATCTCAGAAATTCATAAATAAGTACTTTTCGAACGGGGCGTTACATAGGGGCTGCAAACAGATGAGACAGTTATTGCAGGAAAAAAAAACATCTTGAAGCAAATCATGTTGTTTGAATAACCCGAAGAGTTGAATCTTTTTTTTTTTCGTTTTCTGTTTATGTAATTTGCTGGAAAATTGTGTTAAGGTTTTATTGAGGACATGATGTAAGTTTGCATGATAATTGAGACAATGCCAAAGGGAAAATAATTACCCCCAACCTTTCGTTTTTATAATTTGAGGACAAGTTTTATATTTTTAAATTGCTCATGAAATATCTTACCATTTACCAAGTTCCATGCTTGTTACTTAAATTGGTTAAATACAAAAATCAATGACGAGTTTTTTTTGTAACTAATTGGATAAATCAACGATGACTTTGGTCACAAGTCGGATAAGACAGTGACAACTTTTTATCGTCACTAATTAGGTAAAACATTTCATTGATTAGTGACAACATTAAATGACGAAACAGTTTGTCACATATTTAATGATCAATATATTGTGGTCACTATTTAGTGATCGTTTTTATACTTATAGTTACTTGCGGCCTTTATATGAAAATTTGCACCTGTCTCTTTTCTTGGTTGGCAAAAAATTGAAATAACTCTAAAGTTTAATCAGATTTTTATAGGTAAGAAATGAAAATTATAAGTAGCTGAAGATGGGAATAAACCAGTGTTGTAAAAATCAATCTAGGCGGACGATTAATTGGGATTAATCACTAGGCGGTCTTTAACCGAATAGGATTAAAGCTAATCGATCGGCTTAATCGGTTTTGGTCAAAGAGGGTCAAAGTCGAAACTAGACGGTTCTAATCAGTCCTAGGCGGCCTAATCGGCCAACTTTTCAAATTTGAAAATATTAAACCAAATTTTTCAAAATTTCAAAAGTTCATAGTATTTTAATGTTCAACTAATATATAAAAAAAATAAAAATTAAATTTTAAAGTTTTTCTCCAGAATGGTCAAAATTTCTATTTTTTCAAATATGCAAATATCTAAATTTACTTATTTTCTTAAGATATATTAAAATTTGAATAATTTTTCTTATTAATTGGATGATAAATTATTGTGCTTGTTAAACTTATTATTAAACTTTTATGCTTATTTATTAATATTCTTATGATTAAAATTAGATTTATAAATTCCTGAATAATTTTCTTAATAATTAATGGTTTCCGATTAATCCCCGCCTAACCGGTTAATCCCTAGACACCAAAGGTAGAGTAAACTCTACTTCTAGTTACTCTCATGATATTTTCATTGAAAATCCAAACAGTATGTTGCATTTATTTATATACTATAGTTTCATAATATTTTCATTGAAAATCTCAATCCTACTTTTGCATATATTTTTCACAAGTCATTCCTAATTTTCCATACTTGTCCAACATTTACCAACAACATAATTTAGGTTAAGTCACTCATTATCCCATTAACACTATTGATAAGCCCATATAATGATACCAATGAATTTGAAATTAAAAAATCAACATCCTCAACCAACAAACTTAGATCATTATGCAGCTTGCTACTTGATACATATGTTTTCCCAACATCTTCATAGCATCCATGTTCTTTAATGTCCTTCATATGATGAACAATTCTTCCCTTGAATATTCATCCTGACATAGAGTCAACATTCAACCAAACAATGAATGGGGTATTAGAAGATTCACATCATCATGAAGAATACATCCAAAAATCACGAACTAAAAGGCCTTTAATTAATAGGCAACTAGGAACATGAAAATATAATTTACCTTTAATATTCACTTCACATTAATCAGAGTCTTATTTGAAATCCTGCATAAAGTACATAAATATAAAGCTGAAAATGTAGGTTGCGGTTTTTGACAATATAACAAAAAAAACTTGCATGAAGCTTTTCAAATGTAGTTTAAGAATTATTAAAGCAACAAAGATCTGATTTACCTGTTGTTTGATCTTTATAAGAGAGTTGATGTCTTTTTCCCCTGCAGCATAAAACGAGCCAAAATGTGTTTCAATTTCTTTTAGCTGTGGAGTAGCGGAATTTCCGTTGGTGAAGGTGGTTATTGCTGGGCATCTGGAAATGCTCAAAGTATCCAATAATGGGAATGAAAAATCCTCCTTCCCCAAGCTAAACCCCTTAAGACTTTGAAGAAGTTGTAATTTCAAGGACTTTAGACGAGGTAACACAAGTATCTCCTTATTCGTCTTGCCATCAGATTCTTTCTCTTTGTCTTCTTCTACACAAACATCTGCATCCTGAACAATCACGACCTCTATCTGACTGCAGCTGCATATGCGTAGCTCTTGGAGTTGCAATAGACTACCAACCATGGAACTAGTAAATACATGTTCTAATGAATTACATTCATAAATTTCGACTCTTGTTAGGTTTGGAAACTCAAATGCTGTCCACTGATTGCTCTTCCATATATACCTCAGATTACTTAGCCACTTCAACCTCATTTCTTTGAGGTTTGGAAGATTGACAAGAGTAGTAGTAGTTGTTTGTGATGATTCATCAAAACCACTTCCACTATTTCTATTTCTCCCTGCTGCTTCCAATGCAGTTTCAAATACCTCCTCTACCCAATTACAATAACTCACATGAATCTTTTCCAGCTTTTGCAGTTGCAGCAACTCACTGGATGGAATAATCTTTTTAACATCCTCATTAAATTTGACATCTAATTCGATCAAGTTATGAAAAGACCAAGGTATCCTTTCTGAAGTAGCAGGGCTCGAGGTGTCACCGTATAAACTTTGGAATGAGGTCTGCAAGTCCAATAAAGAAAATGCCAGAGGCATATATATGTCAAACAAAAACCTTTGAAATGTCATATATGTGCTGTACCAATTTTAATGAATTAATACAAGATATTATAATTATTAATCACAATGGTAATTGTAAGTATTAACTCCAACTAAAAGTTATCCGATGGGTTGCTATTTTTGATCTCATAAAGTAGGTTAGTTTTGACCTTTTGTCCTTGTTGAAAATGGAAAAGCTTGATTCAAGTGACAACATGCTATGAAAATAACAATCAAAAGAAGTAACAGATGAGCCACTAACTCACTTAGAACCATGAAGAACAACAATCAAATGGAGTAACAGGGAAAGATTTCATTGAAAATCATGCTAGGCTAAGAAAAATGATAAAGAAACAAGCAAATCGAGAATAATCATGCTCTTCCAGGTACTAAAAAGCCTGCAATAACAACTTTTGACAGAAAATACCTAAAATACCCTTTCCACTGAAATACACTATTTTATCCTATCTTGCTTTCCCATTTTGGCCTTCTTAGAACAACATAAACTTAGACTGAAACTAGTGTGAATGTGTTTGAAGTAAATTTACTTGGCAGGAATGATATCTTTCTTAATTAGATGATGCCAATTAAAGAAATATATATACCTGATGAAAGTTAAGGCCAGATTCTTGATCAAGAGCATGTCTGCCTAATTCTGTGTGTATATACTTGAGTTGGGGAGCTGTGGACCCACCAGCTGCAAACACCATCATTTTTGGGCATTTGTTGATGATAAGTTTATCTAATGAAGGCATCTGGAACTCATTCTTCCCCAAGAAGAAACCCTCCAGCTCTCGTAGACCCACTAGTTCAATGGACTTTAGACGGGGAAAGACCACAACCTTCGTTGTTGTTGTTGTTGTTTGCTGCTCTCCATATTCATCTTCTTCCTTCTTCACAATCACTTTCATTCTGTAGCAATCCTCTATCTTTAACTCTTGGAGCTGTCTCAGGCTTTCAAGTGCAGAGAATGTGAATATATCTTCCAAACCCCCACAATTTTCAATACTTAATATCTTTAGATTGGGAAGCATAATAACATTGTTATTTACTCTTGGAATTCCTTCCTCACAACCACTCTTCTCGTTGTTTTTGTTGCTGCTCATCCCTAATTGAGTTTCAAATAACTCATTCATCCCATTGCAAAAGCCTATTTTCAGCACTTGAAGCTTTTGCATTTGTCCTGCTGCATAACATGGAATTACACTTGACAGTGCATCACACCTATATATCTCTATCTCTCTAGAGTATTGGCATAAGCTCCAACAAACACCACCTGCTTCAGACAACTGCAACAACACATGGAAAAATGATGTAAAACTAATTAAACTATATACACAGCTTTTGTATAAGAAAGTTAATTCAAAATCTAGCTTTTTATATACTAAATGATACCAGTGCTCTCCACATCAAAAATGTACTTTTGTTTTTTTTTAATTAATTTCGGGATTTATTGAAGAGAAAATCACTTTAACACCTAAAATATACGAATGCAAATTCAATGAAAACAAGAAAGCACATATTTAACAGAATAACCTTAGAAAAAATAGTTTTGGGTGATATTATATATTGTTCTATTCTACAATATCTGTCACCTGATGTCCCCTAATATCTAAAATGTTACATTTAACTAAATTCTGGGTACAATGACCAGATTTTCACAAAAGGTGATATTCTCCTCTCCTACTGGCCAGTACTTGCTAAATACTGCTTTAACAGAAATAAAACTTAAATTGCCTATAATACCCATCAAAAGATGCCATTATCATTTTATTGAACTTCCATAACTGCCCTTACTAGAGTTTCTGAAGTGTAGCAGCTGTGTCATAGCATCCATCCCTCTAGGTAATTATTATCTTAGTATAGTGGGTATAAAATGTATTATTTATAGAATATTGCAAAGAAAAAAGGAAATTAAATAAATAATTGAATATGTACAAAGCATACCTCAAATTGATCAAGAACAGCAGTAGTTGCAGTGGTATTATTGAAAGATATTTCATTGCTCCCCTCATCCTTGGCACCACCTCCACCAATACACTTCAGATTCTTTAGGAATCTTAGAGTGAGAGAATCAAGATGAGGGAACAAGATGGTGGTTGTGTGGGTAGATGTAAATGTAGTCATTTCTTCATCCTCATCATCTCTGTTTGAAACAACTTCTTCAATACCATCACACCCATGTATCTTGACTTTCTTTAGGTTGGAAAGAAGTTCTGCCATGAGAGGCGAAAACAAGTACTTAATGCTTTCGCAGTTATCAATACTTATGGTTGTGAGGTTGTGGAATGGGGATTCTGATTGTTGTTTTGGAAGAGTGAAGAATTTATTCCAGTTGCTGCACTTCCACACATGACTCATGTTGTCCATATAAAATAGCTTCAATTCCTGGAGGTTGGGAAATATAGAATGTTGGTTATGGTGAGTTGTTACCAATTCTCTACTTGTTGGACTCTCACTCTCTATCTCAAACACCACCTCCACTCCTTCATAATTATACAATTTAAGTTTATGGAGGTTATGAAAAGAGTGCATGAGACAGGGTGGGAATACAACATTAGAAATACTGGCAGTGGCTTCTTGTAATGTCTCTTCCTCTGACTGAATATCAGTCTGCAAAGCAAGAAATGTAATTAGCAACCTGTGTACTGAATTGTGTTAATGATATATGATTCCACGTCCATTAACAATTCTCTCTTATAATTTTGGATGTCAAAATGGTTATTTTGATTCTAGGTATTTTTTTTCAAGAAAAAGTTGCAAATGATGGAAAATGCCAACAGATTAAAAATAGTTTGATCTTTCACCTTCAAATAAATTATTAAAAGATGCTAAGGATCCTATGCAGCAAGATAATACAAAAATAAAGATGCAACTTATTTTCAAACAAGAGTCCGAATTTAGCTTGAAATTGAGTTAATAAGAAAAAGGTAGGTTAATTGAAGGGTTAAGTTTACTAAATTTATCTACCATCCAAGTCACGGTCTCACGGAACTGTTTCCAAACAACCTAAGTCCCTATTTGACTGGTTGGGAATAAGAAGCTGACACTGGTATGGTGGTACCCCTTCTTAAATTATTAAAAAAAAAAAAAAAAAAATAAATAAATAAATAAATAAATAAATAAATAAATAAAAAAAAAAAAAGAGGACGGTTAAATACATATAAGATGGCCATTTTACCCCTTGTTTTATATATTTGTTTGTTTATATAAATGAAACTCGGCCAGCCATAAACCATCCTCAACCCCAAGCCACGTCCTCTCTAAATCACAGTCGTTCCCAATCTCTATGTGTAAATTATCCACACCACATACCATCTGGAGATCAAGAAAGAAAGAAATAGGAAAAAAGAAAATTTAAAATAAAATAAAAGATATGGTGACGTGTTTGTGTCTTTAAAGTCAGCTCTCCCTTCCATCTTCATTTACCAGATCCACCAGACGCACATGGACCTTTTTTTTCAAGTAGAAAATCATTCCACTTGTTATCAAGATGAAGAAAACAATTGATTAATCAAGTTTTTAAGAGTTGTTGGTGATATTTGATCCAAATCAGGGTGTTTCAGAAAACTAAGTTCTAAAAAGATCAAATAGTAATAACTCAGAATCAAGTTTATAACCACTTGCAGACCATCATTCCCGTTCTGCCCAAACTTCTACTCAAATCCATCAACAAAATAAAAAATTTGACGAGATTCGTTCAATTCCACATCCAAATAAATATATGGATATTCAACTTTTCGTTATTGTAATGAGTAGCAACAAAGGGTTGTAAGCAGTGAGAGAGCGACGTAACGCCATCGTAAGTGAGGACTAGTGATAGAGAAATTGGGCGAGACTTGCAATTTAGGGTTTTGGATTATGTTCTTTGTTGTTTACTTTTAAATACATAGATCACAACAAAATATTAAAAATTATCAAAATCAAAGAATAAATTACATTTCTGGTTAATGTGGTCACCGTTCCACCTTAAATTTTGATATGATTTGATACAAACTTGTAAAAAAAACTCGCCCCTAGTTGTTATTTTTTTAAAACTCTTTTTCCAATTAGGACATCGTACTTTGAAATGTTTATTTTTACCTATAGTAGCACCGTTCTTACACAGTGTTACAAATATTTTATTTGATATCTATTTCTATCATTGGTAATTAAATATACGTGTTGTTAATTGAGAAAAATAAGGTCGTATAGTAGAATATCGAATGTGGGGGACCAAAAGGGACAACTCCACAAACTAATGTGGCAAAAATTTGACATCTCACATTTGGTTACTGTCAGGGACCAAAAGTGTGAAACTCTGAAACCCTTTTTGGCTAGCAGGAGAGAATATCGAAGTTAGGGGGACCAAAACTGCCAACTCCACAAACTAATGCTGTGAAAAGTTGAGGAATGATCAAAGTGGCAAAGTTTTGGAACTTTTGTCGCAAAACATTGAAAAGGTTAAGGAGGGACAAAAAGTGGTAAAGTGTTCAAACTTTTGTGGTAAAACGTAGAATAATAGAAAATATTCTATTCCTATGACCTTTGCGCTTTAATATATATATATATATATATATATATATATATATATATATATATATATATATATTGTAAAACATGTTAGTCATATCTTGAATTTTAAGATGTATAAGTTACAAAGTTTTTTGTATAAATCAATTATGCATAAATAATTCTTTAATACTTACCAAAAGTTTGAATACTTGAATTAAAAAAAGTAATTAAGAAACTCAATTTGAAGCAAACTGAAAATATTAAAAATATTAAATTCATGTATTTAAATTAATTTACATTTTTTAAATTAGACATAAATATTAATTTATTATATTAATAGTATACAAGCAATATAAATATAAAGTATAAACATAAATATTTTATTTAAAAGTTGTACTTTTTTATTATATAATACCCAATAAAAAATATAATAATTATTTATGCTTAAGAAAGTATTCTCCAAAACATCACTGCTTTGCGCGGGCACACATCTAGTGTGTGTATATATATATATATATATATATATATATATATATATATATATATATTATATATATATATATATATATATATAAATTAGGAAGGAAAAGTGTCAAAGTAAGCAAAGAATTGTGACAAAAGTTTGAAATATAAGAACTTACTATTCCTAAGACCATTGAGAATTAATTATATATATAATACTATTCCTAAAGACTATTGTGAATTAATTATATACATAATTGTCCATATGTTTGGTCTTTTTGATTAATATTGTTGGATTTTTATGTTAAATCCAATGTATAAAAGACTTTTTTTTTTCATATCAAAATAAATAAAACTTATAAACTAAAATGATTAAATATATAAATTACATTAAAAAAATATACAATATCAAAGATATAACTCCATTTTCCCAAAAGAAGTATCACATCCCAAACTCTCTCTCTCTCTCTCTCTCTCTCTCTCTCTCTCTATGTGTGTGTGTGTGTGTGCGCGCGCAGGGGCAGTTCAACTTTGGTGTCCATAGTGGCACCAACAACCACTGTTTTTTTTAGACACATTGTAAAAAATTTCGAATTTTTCGTTTTTTCTACTGTTATGCCACTACGTAAAAGAAAAAAAAAGTGTCACCAGCAACACTTATGTGCCACCAACAATCAGTACTATGAAATCCTACGTCTGCCCCTATGTGTGTGTTGTGTATATACAAGAAAAATGGATTATTTTCATCTTTAGTACTTACCTTTGTCACTCACCCCTTATATGTTAGTTTTTTGGCTTAATTAATGATGTTTCCATCCCATATTGGTACAAGGAATGAAGGGTGGGTGGACTACAAGCCTATAAGGGTGGTCGAAGTGCGATAATTTCATTTTATTTACTTCATTTTATAGTCTATTTTAGCATATTTCGTTCATCATTTAGTTAATCTTCATGCATATTTTTCTTTTTGTTATTTTATGACCATTTCGGGTACTTTCTAGTTCTGTGATCTTAATTGCAAATTTTAAGGAAACTAGCGGAACGGGAACTACATGAGATAATTAAATTTGGAGGACAACAAAGATTGTGGACTAAATAACTAGTAGAGATGATACATGAAGTGAACTATTGACGGATGAAGCATGAAGAAGGTGGTCTCTTGCTTAAAATGAAGACGAGAGAATAATTGTGCATTCGGGATTGAGATGAACGGGCGATTCTATGAAGTTATGGATGATTTGGAGAAGGCAAATTGGGCTTAACTTGAATACAACTTGAAGAAAAATGGGTCACAAGTTGATTGGACTCGAACTGGGCCAAGTGGACTAAAGCATTGGAGGCTCAAAACTCAAGAAAGCACACACCATGCCTCACCTGTGCAGATGTGCGCGAACCGCGCAGAAGCATGCGACCAGCTAACCCGCACAACACCACCCTCACGAAGACCAAAGACCTTTCGTATTCAGCTCCACCCGCACAAGGCACCCGCATAGGGTCCTTCAGGGGCAATTTTGTAATTTTTGCTTTGAGTGTTATTTAAGTGAGTTTGGTGCAGCTTTTGAAGGAATCAATACACACGAATTTAATGGCTCTCCTTTGCATTATTGGGAGCAACTGGAGACTTGAAGAACTTAGAAGAACATCAAGAACAACATCATCTTTTACTGTGATTCTTACTACATGTTTGGTACTTCTAATCTTTATTTTAGTTTCTTGAGTTTAGCCATGCTAGGCTAAACTTCTCTTTGGTTGAATTGGATGTAATTTCTTGAATGACTTGGTTATTTTGAGGAATTCCTTGAAGTTATGTTGAATATCTATGATTATATAATCTATAAAAACTTCGTTCATGTTCACATATATCTAGTCATGAATAATGATACATGAATGTAATTTTTTTGGTTAAACTCTTGGCTAAGTAATAGGTCTTCCGTTTAATAAGCAACAATTAGTTTGAATGTTTGTTTTCATTTCATTTAAACTAAGAAAATATTTTCTCCATAGTGGTAATGAAAGCATTGGATTACTCTTTGAATTTGGTGACTCTTAAAACCTAATGCTAATTGATTTTCACAAAATTATATGCTTCATTAGTTTTGTGACTTTGATTTAGAAAATATACTAAGAGCTTCTCTAGTCATTTTAATACAAAAGAAGAGTTGAGGAAAGTTATGATCATTGCTATAACCAAGTTTGATTATAAATATAAGTATTGCACCTTAGTATTCTCATGATTATTTAACCAAATGTTCAAGTTATGAAATTTCAAAGTCAATCATCCTTCTCTTATTGATTTTACATCAAACTTTACTTTTGATTGAATTGTATTTGAAATCTTAGCATAATTCTAGTGTCAACATGCTAGTATAATTTAAGTTTTCTAAAAAAAACCAAAAATAGTTAATCCCCCATTTTTACTTTTATTGTTATTTTTATAAGTATTTGAAGAAAGAAGTTTTCATAGAATTATAATATTGAACCAATCTTCGTGGATACGATCCCTTTACCATTATACACAACTTTTTATGTGCAATATAAAGGATATTAATTTTGGTGGCCTCGACACGCATACCAAAGTGGCTCGGGAAGAAGAAAAGTGGGTGGGCGGTATCGACAATATCGTTGGGTGCTTATACTGAGCAAAAAATGGGACTGTGGTTTACCTCTTTTTCGGGTTATGTAGCCCGTGAGTTTGGTGAAGAATCTCGATGAAAGGTTGCATCAATTGTCCTCTTTGACCTATTAACTAGGTCAAGAGTTAAACATATATATTTTTTTTTAAATTACCTATAATTTCTCTCAATTTGTCAATCTATTTTCATCAATTCTTATATTTATCTTAATTCGACTATCTAATTCCACTATTCACCTCTTCAATTCCATTCAATGGATTCCAGATGAAAATCAAAAAAGGTTATTATGTCAAAAACACAAATCGAAGCAAGGCGGTTTAAGTCAAGAAATTCCATTTTCTTCCCTAGAATCCCAAAACTACAAACAAAAACAAAAGTTCCAACAAAACCTAAACTATCATCAATACCAACACTATCAGTAAAACCGAAATTATCAACAATAACCGGTGCAACAAAGCTACAACTCATTTCGTCTTCCATAGGATAATATGTGTTTTACTCTATACATGCAGTATTCTTAAGGGGTTCCTGAAACCAAATTCCAAAGCCTATTATCGTGATACTCAAAACTTAGAATCATCAGATTCTAGTGACGATCCCACTCTCGAACAAGATATCGAGGTGCAGTAACTAGTTGTCGGGAACAAACGCGACTACACAAAGCGCCAAAAGTAAAAAAAAATGGTTGGAAAAGGAAGAGATGGCTTTGGCTATGGCGTATGTCGATGTTTCTGAATATAAAAAAACGTAGAAATCACCAAATGTCAGATGCAATTTGGGAGCGGGTTGTAGAACATTTTAATGTTCAATTGGGTGGTATGGATCGACCACGACATCAAGTAAACTCAAAATGGAAAGATCTTCAAAAGATATGCAACGATTTCAAATGCATCTTTAACCGTAAGATGAACAGTCTCGCTAGTGGGGGATCCAAGGTAGATGCTCTAAAAGATGAACAAAGCAAGTATCAGAGGCTTAGTAATCAAAAAACTTTTTCTGAGGAAAAAAGCTTGGGATGTTTTGAAATACCATATGAAATGGTTGCAAGTAAAAAGAGTCGACGAAGAATCCCCGCCTCCTTCTTCAAAACAAACCAAAACTTCTTCATCGAATGCATATACAACATCTTTAGATGCACAACTTCCACCGGGGTTCAACCAACAACACCAAAAAATGAACTCACCGCCTCAAAGACAACAAAAAAGAAAGAAAGCAGCATCTGAAGCATCAACACCAAATGAAATCGTTGATCTGGTCAACGAAATTGTCGGCATCCACACTGTGAACAAAGTAGAGGTGGAAGATAGAAAACGATATTGGATGAAAATTTGCGTCTTAAACGAGAAAATGAATAAATGGAAGCTAAATTGTTGAACTTGGAGATACATGAGAGAGACATGCAATTTTTTCTCAACCTGCATGATCACTTGACAGGAGAGATTCTGCGAATGGTGCTCGAACAGAAACGACAAATTACAAAAAAATATGGCTGAGAGTTTTAGAATTTTCTTGATCATTAGTTAATTATAATTTTCTCTTTTTATTTTTAATTTTGTCTTTTTTTATTATGTTTTTTTAATTATCATTTTTTTATTTATCGTGTCTTTTTTTTTATTTGTATTAGTGCTTTTTAATTAAAAAAAATGTTATCTTTTATTTAATTTTGTATTTTTTAATTTAATTAAATTAAAAATAATAATGTAGCGGTGGGTTGAATGTCTTGAAAAAGATGTTATTTTTATATGTTATGGGTTGGAAAAGATGAAAGTAAGAGGAAAGAGAAAAACGAATTTGAAGCTCGTGTGACAATTAGTTAAGTGTAGGGATGAGAATTTGGCCCGAAAACCTGAACTGAACCGAGAACCGAACCGAACCGAACCGAATTAGACCCGAATAAGCAATTTGATTCGGTTTTCGGGTATCTATATAAGGCTTATTCGGTTTTTGGGTTATTCGGTCCGGGTTACCCGAATAAGGGCTTATTCGGTCCAAAGAACCGAACCGAATATGAAGAGTCGTTTTTTTCCTTGCACAATTTATGTATTCGGTTCTATGATCATCACAATCGATCCCAAAAAAACCAAATCGAAGATCGTTACCCACTTAATACACCAAATCGAATATCCAAAAAAACCAAAAAAACCAATTTATGTATGTTATCAATTGAAATTTAAATGTGCTATGTTAACAGTTAACTTTTTTTTTTTCTATAAGTCCAAGCAATGGGGACTTTGATCTTGAATAATAGAATTTAATGAAAACAACCATATATGTTCTTTTACTTGTTTCATTCCATATTGATGAAGTTATTCGGGTTATATATTTATAGATAGATTTTTTTTGGTGTTTTGGATGTTTAATTTTTAGTGTTTAATTTGTTTCTTTAGAAGATTTGTTATGAAATCATAAGCTACAAAAGTAATACAAAATATTCGGGTTATTCGGGTTATCCGGGTTATTCGGGTTATTCGACTCCTTAATCATCTTGTACATGTTATTTGGGTTATTCGGGCCGAAACCGAACCGAACCGAATAATACCCGAACCGAACCGAACCCGTATTGCTTATTTGGTTCGGTTTTCGGTTCATACAATTACCCTTATTCGGTTTTCGGTTTATTCGGGTCGGTTCGGTTCGGTTCGGTTCCGACCCGAATAACATCCCTAGTTAAGTGGATTAAGTGGTTTCCACTCTTACCATCTTAACAAGTCATTTACAGATCCCTATTCTAATAAATGAATAGTTTTAATCTCATTTTGACAAGTATCATTGTAATACAACTCATCATTAATATTGTGTCATGTGCCATGTAGATATATTACACAATTCATTTCAAAATTCAAATTTATATTTTCTAATTATATGTTAAATTTGAAGTTATAATTACTTTAAAATTTTGATATATCTCTTAATTAATAAATTATTTAAAATTAATAATAATGATAAATTTTTATTATGAAAGTTTAACTAATTTTGGAACCCGTGGTTCCCACAGGTTATAAACTAGTACAATTATAAATGACTACAGAAAAATAATATTTTATTATATATCCATTTGTGATACAAGAATTATAAACCGTTAATTAACATATCCAATTTCACTTTGTAAATTTTGTATAACATATATAAAAAAACTTTTTTGTTTAAATTTAAGTTTTAATCATTTGCAATCATATTTAGAAAAAAAAATTGCTCTTAGTGAATGTCAAATATTTTTATTTTAGTTATCTGGTTTTCCGAACCAAATAGTTTTTTTTGTTAGGAAATGACATTTAAGTTGTTAACTTATTAAATCTGTTGCTTTTTTCACTAAAAAGTAATTATTTACATTTATAACGATTTATTAGCTAAAGTTAGATGATGAAAATTAGTTCTAATTTAAATTGCTTTAAACTTATTATTATAATAATGATCTCTAATGAAAAATCATGTTGATACATAAATATAAAAATATTTTAAGCCATATTTTTAAATGACTTGTATTGAAACCTTAATTCAAGAAATGGTTTGTACGTTCATGGTTTGTAACATTTTGTTACAATTATGATGCCCAAGTTTAGTCATCTCACCTCTTTATTATTCAAAAAATAGGAGCTTAGTCCTTAATTAAGTAAGAAAGTGAAATTGAAAGCGTTACCTGCTCTTCCGATTCGTGATTTTCTCCGCAATCTTTTATCTGAATCTCCAAAAGTGCCCCCAGATCAAAATTGGTGGTGGTAGGCATGAATACATTTCTAAACCTCTCACATCCTCTGATGCTTATGCTTTCAACAGCTTGAAATCCACGAACGAGAGGACAAGAGTTATCTACACCTTTTATCCTCCACACCTCTCTTAGCTTCCCTGAAGTCTCCACTTTGATGCTTCTTATTAAGCTACCGATGTTGTCTTGTTCTCCAATTGCACCGGCACAATCCAAGTCGATGTTGAATAACGATTCAATGGAACCACAATCCACGACTTTAAGCTCCTCAAGATGATGCAGCAGAGACATGGGATTGTGCGGAAATAGATTCACAAGTTTATTACAATTTCTCACTTTAATCTCTCTCAACTTAACTTTCTCACCTCCACTAAGTTCACAAGGCCATATTTCTTCTAAGTTCTCCATGTCATCAATTCGAAGTGTCTCCAACTTAGGAATCACAACCTGCAAAATAATCATCCCTTAATAACCACATATAAACAATAACACATTATACAATCAAATTACAGATATATTATGAAACTTTTAGTTGAGAATATTATTTAAATTGTATTAACATAAAGAACATATATCTACCTCTTCCTTCAACAAACTAGATGTTCGCAACTTGTTCTGCGGATAAATGACTGTGAAACCTGGAATGCCCTTAAGTTTCAAGTCTACGAGATGTGGTAGCCCAATTATCTTGACATTATGGCACAAACCTGATAACTTCGGTAGTTGACTCAAAGATAAAGACTTCAGCTTGGGGAAAGTAATTGTCTCTTCTCCACAACCCCCAATCCCAGTATGTATGAGTTCTTCCATATTCTCGCATTCACAAACTTCTAGATGCTCAAGGCTTGACAAAGTGTTTGCAACATGGAGTTTGAAGAGGTATCTCAACTCTATACACTTTGAAATAATAAGGACTTTTAAATTGCAGAATGAAGAGGACCGAGGAGAATGTGTCGACTTCACCTCATCTTCAAGATTATTCATACCATCCATGCTTAAACAAAGAACCTCTGTTTTTACAAACAACTCATTAAGTTGAGACTCGAATACATCACCTTTTTTGGTCAGCAACTGCAACGTGTTTTCATATGAGTGCCTACTCTCACTAATATCTCCATCTAAAGAGCACCCCACTGAGATCTTGAATCGTTCAAGATTCTCAAATGACATATTTTTCACTTCAGCTTTGTTATTAAAAAACTCGAATTCTAAGGCAGAAAGGCTGTTTGAACGCTCCACCATCTCATTGCAGTTATCATCTGTGAATCCAGACGCATTTCCAATATAAAATTCTTCAAGTTTAACCAAACTTTTCAAGACACCCTGTTCTATACGGAGACCATCACAAAATCTCAGATCAAGTAACCTTAACTTCTTTAAATTTCTGACTGTGGAAGGTAACCATTCAATGCGAGAATTAGCAAAGCTCAGCACTTCCAGATTCGATAGATTTCCGATAGAAGAGCAATCAAACATCTTTAATGAACATTCAGTGAGATGAAGCACCCGAATGTTGGTGGAGCATTGAGGTGCCAAAGGAAGCAATGGGTACTTCATTTTATCGTATGATATAACCTGGAGCTTTTCCATTCCTTCATAAAATTCTTGAGGAAACTTTAGAGACTTATCTCCATGCATAAGTTTCAAAATCGTTAGTTTAGGAAACTTGAGGTCTACTGGAATCTCAATCATACCCTTGCATGTTAATGAAATTCTTTTGCAAGAGTGCACGATCATATCATTTTCATCAGGCCACCCAAGCATATTACCATGGTTGACAATTGAAGCTTGCTCGACTTCAGAATACATACCCAAAACAAAAGCACGGACCAGATCATGCATCTTGACGTGTACACCATTATCACTTCCAATTAGTAAATTTGTCTGCACCAGTCGCTCAATGCAGGTGTTGAGCCTGTTTCTTGCTTCTATAATTGTATAAACTCTATCAAATAACTTTAAGCCCCATCCATACCTCATCAACTCCTCGGTAGGAATATTGAAGTCTTCGGGAAACAAACCACACATCAAAAAAACAGATTTTGTCTCCTTGTCCGGGAGATTCTCATAGCTGGTTCTAAAAACTGCAGTAGCAACATTACCAATGTCATGGTGTTGTAAACGAGAAAGTGCATCCTTCCATGCATCCTTTCTTTTATTTCTTAGAGTACACGCCATGGTTTTGATGGCAATGGGTAGACCGCAACACCTCCTAACAATATCTTCTCCTATCTTGTGGAGCTCGGGCTCAGAAGTTTCTACAAATTGCTGGAACAATCTTTGTGCTTCTGCTTCAATTAGAAGTCCCACGTTAATAATTGAATTAGCTTCAACCCCCATCACTGAGCAAACATGTTCGTCTCGTGAAGTCAACAAGACCTTGAAGTCGACACCTTGATTGGGAGAAGGGCTTAAACCAATATCTTCTAGATCAACGGACTGCCAGACATCATCCAATATTATGAGGAACTTAGTGTTACCTCCATCTGATTTGGCCTTGAACCCTTGACGAAGCTTCTCAGCTCTTGTTTTCTTATCGCTTTCTTTCAGTTCTATGCATAGGTAATCTGCTACAACTTGCTGAATAGCAATGGGGTCCGATATTTCCCCTATAACCGCCTCGATGATATAACCAAACTTCCTCTTTTCTTTGGCAACCTTCTTCAGCCTTTGCATCATGTGGGTCTTCCCCACTCCCCCCATTCCACATAAGGCTATCATGTGGTTGGCCTCAAGTGCTTTGAGTGCTTCACTAAACCTTACCTCTCTTGACTGGAAGTCATTGTGTTCAGTTGAAAGCGTAGAGGTGGATGCCATCACGGAATCAACTCTTCCCAAAGGAATGGGATGATCGGTCCAAGTGATCAGAGAGTGTCGTCTCATGACACTGTCGATCTCCTCAATTATATTGAAGGCATCCCTTCCGGCCCTGTACCTAATCTTTAGATTGAAGCAACAGCCGACATCTTTAGAAACAGTTTCCACTTTTGCATTGATCTTTTCTACATCTTCCAACCAGCTCTGGACTTGAGCTGCTGGAACCTCAAGACGATTACTAATGTTATGATTCTTGTGCTCTTCAACATTGTCTTTTGCTTCTTTTAATTCCTTCATTTTCAAATCCATGTCACTGATGTACTTTCTGCAGGAAACGAGGTAGCGTAGGTAATCGTTAATAGGAACCATGAGAACTGGAACAACTTGTTTTATAATTTCATTAGCAGTTTCCATGGCCATATTCTTGTGGTAGCACCTGCATCGTAGGCAGCCAACAATTGATCAGGCATAATTCGATGGAAATTAACAGTGGATCTAGCAATTGTATTCACCCTGGCTTAAAAGATGAAGTTTTAAGAATTTTAAATAGAAATCCGGTTTTTCATTGATTCATTATAAATACATAAAAATATGGTCATTTGAAAGATGACGGTAGCAAATATTACATGCATATGAGCACATCCTAGATTCATTTAATTAAGTAAAGTTAGAATAGACCGTTGATGTCACGAGTGAAAAAGTCTGTCTCGTATCGTAATTAATTAATGACGTTACCTTTGTGTAATATTATAGAAGAATTTGATTATTATTCGATCTTATGATAATGCTATGTTTTGGTAATTATGTTGAAATCCTTGTAATTTGCAACCACATGGAAGTATTTGTTAATAGATCTGACTTTTTGCCAAGGAGCCTGTGATTGAAAGATGATTAATCAATACGAAAGTAAAAAATATGGTGAATATGAAAGAATAAAAGTTGAAAATATCAACGTGTTAATGTTTTCATGGTCTCACTTTTGCAACCCATCTTTTAATTAGCATGAAGAATAATAACCTATTTTTAATATTACCTTGGTCGTTAGATAAAGTTTTGTTAATATCCAAGTATAATTATTAAAACTTGGCAGGCAAAATTGATTAACAATAGTTACATCTATGATCTCTACGCATGTGGGAAATTGGGTTTTATTAAACACATCCAGACAAGTGAATCTAAAGGAAAAAGTTTATAAATTTAAACATGATAGTAGATGTTTCAATTTAGCTCATATACATTAAATGGTTAACCATGTTAGGGGATCCATAATGCATTAAGTTTATTAGAGTTTAATAGATTAACATATCATCATTTTACTTACTATACAACTCTACATTAATTTCCCTACAAATACAATGCATTCAACTCAATAAAGTTCAATGAAATATATATTTAATGGTTAAAACCTTTTTCTCATTAAAGAGCTCAATGTCCATTAAACTCTATATCCATTGAATGCAAACATGGTTTCCTATAATGGTAGAGTTTAATCAATTGAATGTCAATTAGGCATGACACCTCGTTCAACTTTCCCATTAAACTATACATTATGAATGCTCTTAGCCAAGTGGGTGGCCCCAACTTGTAATATATATTTTTATTTATTTTAGTCATTTATGTAGTCGCCTTTTAAATGATTGTGAGTTTTGTTTCCCTTAATAGTACACTAAATAGTAAAGTAATTATAGATTGGGCTTTGCTAAATATTAACACTTTTTATAATTAATTTTTTCAAATATGTATCTATTTAAAAAAGTTTACCTTCATAAAAGTAAACTAAACACTTTATCATTATATATTCTATAGTTTTCAATATCAAAACAATAATTAATAAGCTTTTTTTTTTAACTTTTGATCCATAATACATCATATCAATATCGCTAATGATAATCTATTAAGTGAAATCCCAAGTACCCTTAACTTTGGTAAAAACATGTCCAACTACTCGTCACCACCAAATTTATCTTTACTTTTTTTTTTTTTTTTTTATCAATTATCATATTATATGTTTCTCTAGAAATTAAGATACAAAGCTCAAAAAAAAAAAAAACATTGAACCTTTGGGTTTTAATGTGTAAATTGCATAAAAGTCAAGAATCAGTTTTAAATAAAGGATAGAGTCTAGGGGTAATTAGTGAAAATTTAGTTTTGACTTCTTAACACTTACATAGAGTAATAGAAGACATTGTTATTTCACAAACTTCAAACAGATTACTGGCGCACCAAATTGGTATCGGAGCATGGGAAGAGGAATTTTTATTAATCGAACAGGTCTGTTTCTGGTGTGTTCTTGGGTGTTATTTTCTTGGAATCAATTGAAGAGGTGTGAAGGTATTATTGATTATTTGAGTGATGATTCTCTAATAGTTTCACAAGGTATCTTGACCAGAAAAAGCACAGCAGCAAGATTTGAAAGTGTGAATAACAGTAGCGTTTTTTCGGAAAATTTTCAATTTTGAATTAACAAAGAAGGTATAATTCATTTTGCTGTTGTTTTTGGTGATTTGTATTGAAAATTGGGTTCTTCCATAATGAAAGTTTGTTTTGAGCTTGGGTCTTGAATGATAGCACACAAGATGTTCGATAAAAGTCCTGAACGAGATTACATTGTTCTTGAGGTTCAAGTACAGGGGTGCTGCTGCATTTTGTGAGGTGGATGTTTATGGGAAGATGTTTGGTGAAGGTTAGCGACAATCTTGATGGGTTTTCTTGCATAAGATAGTGTGGGTGAGTTGACATGATTTTGTAACGAAAGAAAGTCGATAGTATCTCCAAACGAGTGGAGAGTAGTGACTTTCAAGAGGCGTTGAGTGGTATAAATTATGAGATTCAAATTGATATGGTTTCTTTCTAATATCTTCGGAAACAGTAGACATTATTCACACAACAGAAACAAAACAAAAACATGAATATTATTTGGTAAAAAAGTTGAATCCAAAAAATTAACATACTAACAACAATCAAAACCTACATAATGTATTCCAAAGGATCAATCGAATTTCTCCATTTCCCAATTGATCTACCTACGAATATGAATTTGTAATGAGATTATGTTTCTTTCCTTCACCTATTGTTCTTATACAAACCAATCTTTTGAAAATCAAAGGAGAAAACTAAAGAGGTATAGTGGGTTGAGTGTAGTTGGACTAACAAAACCATTGATTAATTGTATCAAACAAAACAATATCGTATGTGTCTGTGAATTAGTTAATAAAGGAGAGTACCTCTTTGTGTATATGCTTCTCTTTTCTTCTTCCCTGTAAAGAACAGAATTCAAAATTTTTGAAGGATGATAATACTACGAATTGTGAAAGATAAATTAAAGAATGACTCACTAATAGCAAATTATATAACTGTCTTTTGTGAGGGGAAAGGGCATGATTGTAATTAGGAGATGTTCACACCTATTGCTTTTTATAATTGGTCTTTTCCAGAAAGAGAACAATGGTGCACCCCTTTTGAGTATGAACATTTGTGGAGCAGGAGTCATTTTTATGGTTATGTACCCCACTTGGATGTGAAGTGCGTTTTTAATTTTATCAAACTTATTTATAAATCATCATTATTACAAATAAAAAGCTTCAGAGATTTTGTAAAATAATTTGTATTGTAGAACATTAACTTCATTTACAAAGTCCATCTACTAATTTATTATTTTTAATGGTTGATTAATTCAGGTTCTTTGATTTTATCAGAAATATTTGTTTTATTTTGGATACACCACTCCACATTGGTTAGAGGGATATTTACGTTTGTCTCTCATCTTTGTTGTTGGGTTTAACTTGTGTTTATGGTACTCGTTTGTCTCTCATCTTTGTTGTTGGGTTTAACTTGTGTTTATGGTACTCGTTTATCTGTATCGTTAGCTATAACTTCTCTCTGTAAACTAACAAATGAAATACATATAACGGCTAGGGTTTCATATTATTATAAAAAAGAAGTACAAATACAATGAAAAGGAAAGACATAATATATAGACAAAATAATTAGGGTTTCCTAGCGGAAAGGCCCAATCATAAAACCCAATACAAAATAAAGCCCAAAATATTATTAGGTTAACATCCCCCTTCAAACTCACAATGCAGCAGCAATAAGCATTGAGAGTTTGTCAGACAGAAAATGGAATCGAGGAGCAGTCAACGGCTTCGTAAGAATATCAGCAATCTGCAAAGAGGAAGGAACATAAGGAAGGGAGATAGTGCCCTTCTGGAGATGATGACGTGTGAAATGACAGTCGATCTCAATGTGCTTTGTGCGCTCATGAAACACTGAATTCTTGGCAATCATTATCGCACTCTCGTTATCACGATACAAAGGGTAGGCTGAGAGATGTGAATGCCCATATCTGCAAGAAGCCATCTCAACCAAACAATCTCACAAGTGGCGATAGCCATGGCTCGATACTCAGATTCTGTAGAAGATCGAGAAACAACATCTTGTTTCTTGCTTTTCCATGATATCAATGAATCTCCAAGAAAAACACAATACCCAGTAATGGACTTACGATCATAAATATCACTATCCCAATTTGCATCACTATAGGCACGCAACTCAAGAGAGGATGAAGAAGGAAACATAAGAGTGCGGAACTGAGTACCACGTAAATATCTCAAAATACGAAGAACAACTCCCCAATGAACAGTAGTAGGAGCAGTGGCAAACTGGCTAACCACATGAACTGCATGAGCAATATCCGGTCTAGTGACAGTCAGGTAAACCAAACTCCCAACAATGGTACGATAAAGACTTGGATCTGATAATGGGACACCATCAGTTGGAGAGTACTTTGCATTACTCTCTATAGGCGTATCAACTGTTCGATTATCCGTGAGTCGTGCACGTTCAAACAAATCTGAAATATACTTCGTTTGAGATAAAAGATAACCCTTTGGAGATTGAGCAACTTCAATCCCCAAGAAATAAGGAAGTAATCCCAAGTCTTTCATAGCAAAACGGTGAGCCAAATCATGCTTTAAAGACTCTATACCATCATGATCATCACCAGTAATAATCATGTCATCGACATACAAGGAAAGAATAATCCGCCCTGCATTCGTACATCGAATAAATAGAGCCGAATCATGGTTACTTGGTTGAAAACCAAGAGAAGTAATCACCGTAGAAAATTTCTCAAACCAAGCACGAGGGGCTTGTTTGAGGCCATATAGAGCCTTCCGAAGTCGACAAACTTCACCTGGTCGGTGAGCAATATCAGGGGGAGGAGACATGTATACTTCTTCATGAAGATCGTCATTCAAGAAAGCATTTTTGACATCCATTTGATAAATCTTCCATTGACGAATGGAAGAAACTGCAATCAAGGTGCGAACAGTCGTCATTTTTGCAACAGGAGCAAACGTCTCCTCATAATCCATACCATACTTTTGCGCGTACCCTTTCGCAACAAGTCTGGCTTTATAACGCTCAACGGATCCATCAGACTTTGTTTTGATTTTATAAACCCAACGACAACCAATCGTGTGTTTTCCAGGTGGAAGCGGAACCAGATCCCATGTATGAGTCTGATAAAGAGCTGCAAGTTCCTCAGCCATAGCGGTCTGCCAAAGGGGATCAGAAATGGCCTCTTTATAGGATGTTGGCTCAGAGAGACAATGTACATTAGCAATAAAAGAGGAAAAAGCCGGTGAGTAAGAGGAATAGACAAAGTCAGGAAGCTTTGTGGACTTCTTATTACGATAAGGTCTCGATGGAGGGGGTATTGATGATTTGTAGGCAGAGGATCAACGATAGTTGTTGGATCAGCCACATGTGGTGAATCAGCAGCAAGTGGTGGATCAGTGGCATGTGGTGGATCATCAATGTCAATGCTAAATGGATCAATGGTATAGAGCTCCTCTCGGGTTGCATCATGTGACTGAACAGGAATGCTATAGAATGGAATATGCTCCAAAAAGGTGACATTGCGAGATACATACAGTTTCTGATTTGAAGGATCATAGCACCGATAACCTTTCTGACCAATACCATATCCCAGAAAAAAAACAAAGAGCTGATTTTGAAGACAACTTATTTTTCTCTACATGAGGCTTCAAGACAAAACATGTACACCCAAACACTTGTAATGAAGAATAATCTGGGAGTTGTCCAAACAACATTTCATAAGGAGACTTCCCCGAAGTGTACGCAGTAGGAATGCGATTAATAACATAAGTAGCGGTATGAACAGCTTCTCCCCAAAACATATTGGGAACTTGAGCAGAGAGTAGTAAGGATCTAGCAGTTTCTAGGAGATGTCGATGTTTTCTTTCTGCAACACCATTTTGTTGAGGAGTGTCTGTACAAGATGTTTGATGTATAGTGCCATCAGATGCCAATAATTGTTTAAAATCATTGGAGGTAAATTCTCCTCCCAGATCACACCGAAAACATTTTATGATAGCAGAGTGTTGAGTCTTGACAAGTGCTCTGAATTCACTATATATGGTGAAAAAATCAGACCTGTGCTTCATAAAATAAACCCACGTATAACGAGTGTAATCATCAATGAATGAAACATAATAGTTAGCTCCTGACTTGGAGGTTATTGGAGAGGGACCCCACACATCAGAATGCACAATATCAAAGGGAGCAATAGAACGAGTGACACTTTTATTAAACGGTAAAGCAAAAAATTTTCCCAGTTTACAACCACAACAGACAGAAATATCATCAAATTTCAAAGAGCCTAACACACCAGTGGAAACCAAAAACTGTAAACGAGACGCTGAAACATGTCCCAAACGAGAATGCCAAAGATAAAAAGGAGACGATGAAGGGTTTAAACGAAAAGACGACAAATCGACACTAGATGCAGCAACATCAACAACATGTAGCTGCTCCAAGACATAAAGCTCCCCAAGTCTACGGCCTATCCCAATCACCCTCCAAGACCGAATGTCCTGTACACAGCAGAATGAATCAGAAAAGAAGACTCAACAACCAGATTTACACAACTGACTGACCGATGCAAGATTCAAAGCAAGTGTAGGAATGTAATACACATCTGTTAAAGATATATAAGGAGTGACAATAGAACCAACACCCTCTACTGACATGGGTGTAGCACTAGCAGACATAACAGAGACAGGTGTACGAGAAGATAATGAAGCAAAAGATGAAAAATGTGGTGACATGTGATGAGATGCACCAGAATCCAATATCCACAAGGATGAAGGAATACCTGACGTGTTGGATGAAGACAGACCTGAATGAGACATGGAAGCTGACATGGCAGTTGGATTGGTAGCTAAGAACTGTCTGAACTGCTCAACAATCTGTGGATCCAAGGCTGATGGTGGTGTGAAATCTGTTTCATTCTCAACTGAAGGTGTAGCAGCAGCGTACTGTGCTGGCCTAAAAGATGAAAAAGAGGGACGTGACTGTCCAGAAGACTTGTTCTGCTGTGAAGACTGAGAGTATGCTGGTGATCTTGTTTGTTGTTGCTGTTGATTTCCCTTGCTTGTCAGTAAAGGACAATTTGCCTTCCAATGGTTTTTCTTCTTACAGAAAGCACACTCATCAAATGCAACTCTGGGACGATTTTGGTTTGAAGATTGGGGTCGTTGTGAAACAGCAAAGACAGCAGGAGTGGCTGTCTTGGGAGCTTTGTCAGCATGGGACTTGATACGAGTTTCTTCAGCAATCAACTCGTGAACAACCGAATCAACAGTGGGAAGAGGTGTACGATGCAAGATTGATCCACGCAGACCTTCAAAATCTGAACGTAATGCCATCAAGAACTGAACCAAACGTTGCTCTTCCCTTCTATCAATATAAGGCTTAAAAGCCTTCAACACATCAGGTTCTGTAAGAGCTAACTGATCCCACAAATCCGACATAGCTGCATAAAATTCCTGAACACTAAGATTGTTCTGTTGGAGGGCTCGAATATCAAACTCTAACTGATACTGCTTTGCAAAGTTAGACTGAGTATACAACCTAGCCAAGTGATCCCAAACCTCCTTTGTCGTGTCATACTTCGCCAACTGAGTACCAATAGACTGGATGACAGAATTATTAATCCAAGTAATGATCTTGGAGTTATCAGTCTCCCATGAATCCAGTAAGGTTTCATAATTAGCGGCCTTCTCGTCTGTTGGTTTCTTCTTGTCACCTGTAACAATCCCCCACATAGTCTTGCCCCGCAAGAAATTTTTCATAACATAACTCCAATAGGCATAGTTTTTGCCATCAAGTTGAATACTAATGGACTGAAGAGAATCATCTCTTGGGGCCATTTTTCAATATCAGTCAAATAGTAAATACGAGTAGTAGCAAAAAAATGATCAAGATCTCGAAATCAACAAAGCTAGACGAAAACGAAACCCTCAAAACCGACAAACGAACAAATCAAACCAAACCAAATACAGAAACGAGCAAAAAAGGCATACCCCAAAATTGCAAATGGTGACAATGAACAGTACACATGAATAGTGCTGATGAATAGTAACCATGAACAGTACTCGGCGGTGAACAGTGTCGATGAACAGT